AAAATTCTGGCAGAAATCCTCGCAATAGTTTCTGAAATCAAGAGAGCTGTGAGAGTACTAACCAATCAGGAAAGAGAAGTCAAATTCTTGTGATCCTTGGAGCCGGCGGCTGAGCGGACAGAACACTGGACGCGTGATCCTGTGGTCCCAGGTTCGATCCCGGGTGCCGGCGAGAAATAATAAGCAGAGTTTCTTTCACCCTGATGCCCCTGTTACCTAGCAGTAAATAGGTACCTGGGAGTTAGTTAGCTATCACGGGCTGCTTCTTGGGGGTGAAGGCCTGGTCGAGGACCGGGCCGCGGGGACACTAAAGCCCCGAAATCATCTCAAGGTAATCTCAAGATAGATCCCCTCCCATGTTGGAATCTGTGGAAATGAACGAGTGGATGTCATGGCTGCTGAAGGCACTGAAGGAGACCATATTGAATGCGTCATACCCAAGACTGCTACAACTGAGAGGTATTCTCAGAGAGGCAACATCACCATGACAAGGTAACTGAGGAAAGGAGGATGGAACAACAAACCAGTGAATCTGAACGCTGGTACAATATCGTTGTAGCGGACAATCCTAATCATTATGGACGAAGAGGTCGTAGAGCGCACGCTGGAGCTCTCTACGACCCACACGCTGGGGGGCTCTACGACCCACACGCTGGGGGGCTTTACGACCCACACGCTGGGGGGCTCTACGGCCCACACGCTGGGGGGCTCTACGACCCACACGCTGAGGGGCTCTACGGCCCACATGCTGGGGGGCTCTACGACCCACACGCTGGGGCTCTCTACGACCCACACGCTGGGGCTCTCTACGACCCACACGCTGGGGGGCTCTACGACCCACACGCTGGGGGGCTCTACGACCCACACGCTGGGGGGCTCTACGACCCACACGCTGGGGGGCTCTACGACCCACACGCTGGGGGGCTCTACGACCCACACGCTGGGGGGCTCTACGACCCACACGCTGGGGGGCTCTACGACCCACACGCTGGGGGGCTCTACGACCCACACGCTGGGGGGCTCTACGACCCACACGCTGGGGGGCTCTACGACCCACACGCTGGGGGGCTCTACGACCCCACACGCTGGGGGGCTCTACGACCCCACACGCTGGGGGGCTCTACGACCCCACACGCTGGGGGGCTCTACGACCCACACGCTGGGGGGCTCTACGACCCACACGCTGGGGGGCTCTACGACCCACACGCTGGGGGGGGGCTCTACGACCCACACGCTGGGGGGGGGCTCTACGACCCACACGCTGGGGGGGGGCTCTACGACCCACACGCTGGGGGGGGGCTCTACGACCCACACGCTGGGGGGGGCTCTACGACCCACACGCTGGGGGGGGCTCTACGACCCACACGCTGGGGGGGGGGCTCTACGACCCACACGCTGGGGGGCGGCTCTACGACCCACACGCTGGGGGGCGGCTCTACGACCCACACGCTGGGGGGCGGCTCTACGACCCACACGCTGGGGGGCTCTACGACCCACACGCTGGGGCTCTCTACGACCCACACGCTGGGGGGCTCTACGACCCACACGCTGGGAGGCTCTACGACCCACACGCTGGGGCTCTCTACGACCCACACGCTGGGGAGCTCTACGACCCACACGCTGGGGGGGGCTCTACGACCCACACGCTGGGGGGGGCTCTACGACCCACACGCTGGGGGGGGCTCTACGACCCACACGCGTAGGGGCTCTACGACCCACACGCTGGGGGGCTCTACGACCCCACACGCTGGGGGGCTCTACGACCCACACGCTGGGGGGCTTTACGACCCACACGCTGGGTCGTAGGTCAGCATGGTGGTCTGTCACCACAGTGGTGAAGGTGACCTTTGATAAAGAAGACCTTTAGGAAGTCTTGGATGGTCACCTCTCAGCATCTTGGATGGTCACCTCTCAGCATCTTGGATGGTCACCTCTCAGCATCTTGGATGGGTCAGCTCTCAGCATCTTGGATGGTCACCTCTCAGCATCTTGGATGGTCACCTCTCAGCATCTTGGATGGTCACCTCTCAGCATCTTGGATGGTCACCTCTCAGCATCTTGGATGGGTCAGCTCTCAGCATCTTGGATGGTCACCTCTCAGCATCTTGGATGGGTCAGCTCTCAGCATCTTGGATGGTCACCTCTCAGCATCTTGGATGGTCACCTCTCAGCATCTTGGATGGTCACCTCCCAGCATCTTGGATGGGTCACCTCTCAGCATCTTGGATGGTCACCTCTCAGCATCTTGGATGGTCACCTCTCAGCATCTTGGATGGTCACCTCCCAGCATCTTGGATGGGTCACCTCTCAGCATCTTGGATGGGTCACCTCTCAGCATCTTGGATGGTCAGCTCTCAGCATCTTGGATGGTCACCTCTCAGCATCTTGGATGGTCACCTCTCAGCATCTTGGATGGGTCAGCTCTCAGCATCTTGGATGGTCACCTCTCAGCATCTTGGATGGTCACCTCTCAGCATCTTGGATGGGTCACCTCTCAGCATCTTGGATGGTCACCTCTCAGCATCTTGGATGGTCACCTCTCAGCATCTTGGATGGTCACCTCCCAGCATCTCGTGAAAATTAACATAATTATACTGTTGTATTTGCTAACATTTTGTAATTATGTCATCATGCTGTAACATGCTTAGTTAAATGAATAATTGGGTTCAGTTCCTGAGTCTTTTATATCACCTTTTAATGGAGCGGTCTGAATTACTGTCCTCCAACTTGTTCAATATATTTTAAAGGTCACGGGGTGATCAGCCTTGTCATGTCTGGTTTGCAGGGTTGGTAGTCAAGTGGCCTCCACCGTTTACGGTATATATCCACTCCCAAAGGGATATTAGAGTGATGTATGATCACACACACACACACACACACACACACACACACACACACACACACACATACACACACACACACACACACACACACACACACACACACACACACACACGCAGGTAGGGTAACAGTGGCAACATACAGGATGCTGCTAGAACCTCGATTAGAAACCTGAACCTAGGTTTTGTCCACGTCCCGGTTAGGTTAAGGTGTGGAACATTAGCCCGACCTTGTGGAGCATTACCCAAGATCAACCTTGTGAAGCATTAGCCAAGCTCAACCTTGTGGAGCATTAGCCAAGATATTTTAAAAGTACAAAGTTGCAACAACTTGACTCCAGAGCTAAGAGAGCCTAAGGAATGAGAATAAGTTTAGCGAACTTCACCTCACATCTCTGCACGAGAGAGAAACACAGAGTGAACATGATCGCGACATGCACGATACTAATGGGAATCACCTAGGTGGTCAATGCCAGCTCTCTTTAAAGTGAGAATAAATAGGACGAGAGGACATCAGTTGACGCTGGCAGCGCCAATGTTTAAGTGTAAGGAATTGTGCTTACCCTACACGGGTGCTCAACAAGTAGAATGCAGTGAAAGATATATTAGTAGTAGTTCATAGATCACTTATAGCAATAGGTACAACAAGGGTAGTTGGCCGGGGGGCATATAGTGCTAGACCTCACTTCCCGTAGTCACTGTGATAGGTGAGTACTGGATGAGTGTTGATTAATGAAGATTAAGCCAGCCAAGAGGTGGCACGGGCATGAATATCCCGTAAGCGGGATGAGTATGTGGAGTGCTTAATACATGCACTAAGATAAGCTGGGAAGCATGGCAAGCGGGCTGGGAGGGCCCGGGGCTCCATGACGCAGTTGCTAAGTGTCTCTAGTGGGCCAGTGGCGCGGAGAGCATGTCACAGGGTGCCGGGCTCAGGCTCGTACTTAAATCTCACAAACAGTTTGGCTCTGTGTTGCCAACGGTGCTGGGTTTGGTCTTGCAACATTCAATTCAATTTCTGCCTTTATTATACAGCCCCCATACCCACCCCGTGGGCGGGAAGGGTATGGGAGTGCTTCAACAAAAGACTCACAACAGTCACTATACAAAGCAGTTTACATCTATGGTGAGTCACACCCGTCTTGCTCCACACCCACCCAACTGGGCGGCAGCTTTACAGCCATATGCTGGCTGAACCTACAGTAACCGACTTCGCTATCTGACAGTACAGCATTATGAATGAAGTACACTCTTTTGGACTCCATTGATGGTGTTATCTCTGAATTCCTCGATTTTTTTTCACGTTCCATTATATAATGACGCAAAGTATGCGAATAGTTCTGCTGACGGAGTTTACACTTAGTCAATTCTACATCAGCAGATGTTACAAACTGCCAGAGGTACTTGTAGCCAAGTCTAAGCCTAGCAGCGGTGACATCTAGAAGTCTGCTAACATTATTGGATGACCCATAGACGTGCGGTACTCCCTGCATAATAGAATGATGATAGATGAAGTAACTGGTGTGAATTTCACTTTGCCTCAAGTCTACGAGATTGTGTTGATATTCCCGGAATATTACCCTGGCTGTCAGTAAACACAGGCTTACCCTGGCACCGATATTTTCCTGTGTTTTGCTTCGTAATGTTGTGCTGTGATATTGCCTCTTAACATCGTACCCAAGTAGAGGTTTTTTGCTTGTGAAGGAGGCAATATAACGGGAGAAAAGTTACTTCAGTCGTTCATCTCAAATTTGGCGGGGGAGGAAGGACCTTGGAAACTGTGGGCGGGGATTGGTTGGCGGCCAGTAGAGACGCGCGGTGATTGGACAACGCGGAGGTGTGTCGCGGGGGGGGGGGGCCACCTGATCAATGACATCATGTGGGATCTACGCACGAGGGAGGGGAATTTTCCACCTCTTGAAATAACGCGCGACTCAACCGAGGCCTCCGCGCACCCTTCTAATCTCTCTCGTAATAGCCAGTCTGTGGAATCTCGTTTCTATCTTATCATCACAGTGACTCTTACCAGTGAAGTCGAGTGAAAGCGAGTGAGGTGTGGGGGGTTGGGGTGGAAGAAGGGGGGGTTAGTGACCATGAAGTCTTCCTGGAGATGTGATGACGCACGTGCGTGTGTGAGTGCGTGCGTGCGTGTGAGTGTGTGTGTGTGAGTGTGTGTGTGTGTGGCGCTGTTGTGGGGTCGGCGCGAGCTAGCCAGCCAGTGAGAGGTTAGCGCCCGGACGGTAGAGATACGCTCCTGCGGCCCAAGCTGTCTATTCCACTCGCCACACTGCATCCTGGATAATTCCATCATTTGTCGCTGTTGGTCGCTCCGCTCCTCAACTTGTGGTACTATGCGAGACTTGCGATTCACGTTGATCCGTGAGCCTGTCTTGACTCTGAAAGTTGTCCATTATCTACGATTATTGACTTTAATGTGCATCTTGTTAGATTTATAAGTGTGCGGGAAATTTTTTTACTAAATTCAACAAGATTACCACCGACGCGACTTTTGCCTACTATACTTGACGAATACATACGAAAGGTGAGTTACACATTTTGTTTGATCTAAAGGGAGTTGTGTTTACATAATAGCTTACGTATATTACCTAATAGTTTAAAGGTAGCTATGTTTACACATTTCCCAGGATGGAGGGTTATATAATGCTATGTACTAGTCAGGTCTACCAGCCTGCACTTATAGATGTTTTCTTGTATCATTGAATTGATAGAACAGTTGCGAAATAGTGTTGAAGTGTGTTATTAGTTGTTGTTATTGATTGAGTTTACACTTGGAGTACTAGATTTGTTCCTTGTAATTATGTTATAAGTAACCCTACCTTGAGGCTACCTTGAGGTGCTTCCGGGGCTTAGTGTCCCCGCGGCCCGGTCGTCGACCAGGCCTCCTGGTTGCTGGAGGCCCTATCCCAGCCTAAATCAGGCCATTGTAACGTCACACACCAGTGGGCCCAATATTGTAACGTCACACACCAGTGGGCCCAATATTCAAGAGCAACATTTACATGTTATCATCATATCATCATAAATATATTAACTTTTATGATAACTCTTCACACTAATCGCTAAATGTCTGGCCTAGTTTCTTAAGGTAGGCCTAGTGTGAGGATTTGACACTAAAGATTGGGACCTATATATAGGCCTAGTTACATGTCATGGTTGCTAAATGCAGCTGTTGTCACAGCGTGTGTTATCATGTTGTTGGGTAACATATGTGAGGCGCCATCTACATGTTGGCGGGATTCTCAAACTTTTAGCAATTATTTACATAATGCATGACGATCATGTATGGCCAAGCCTGGCGTGCATTACCGCTTGAGCGGCTGCAGGTTACCGCTCAAGATTACGACTGCAGATTACGGCTACATATTACCGAAACGCTATGCGTGTTAGTGGCTTTGCGAGAATGTAAAAAATACGAATTCTATGTACTCTCGCAAACCCGTTGACACCTTGTAAATCAATTATTAGTATTATTATAGATGTATGTAGCCTGTTGACGACAAGGAGCTTGAATATAAGGGTAGATAGGTCTGGATCTGACCCCTGGGGGTGAAGGGTCACCGTCCCCCCCCCCCCCTACATATTGATCCCATACACCCACGGTAACTTTGGATCTGGTTGTAAATCTACTTTCTAATCGAGTTTAATTTCAGTTCATGTATGTTGTGATGATAATGCACATCCTAGATGCATGGTGCACTAGGCTGTTTGTACCGTCCTCTATGACACGTCACTCAAGGGACCCACAAGTCCACACAGCACACGACTGTTCCAGGTCCTTCAAGGGACCCACAAGTCCACACGACTAATCATATTTTACGTTATAGACACATGGACATTAATTCCACAATGACCAAAACCATTCATCAGAAAGTGAAGAAACGATGATAACCTGGATCAGTGAAACATTGTCGTCTCCTCATCTTCTGGTGTGAGGTTTGCTCATCATATCTTCAGCCACGTTATTGTGACTCATCGTCCGCTCATTAATTCAATAATTGCCACATTGTGCATATTGCAGTATCATTTACAAGAATGTGAGTATTATATTCTAAGTGAAGTCTTTATACCTCCTAAGAACATGACTCATGTCATTCCAGTATCACACATCTATACACATTTCATGTGGTACAGGGTTCTAAATTTGTATATTGTTCAAACAATTTACATTAATACAAAGTGATCTAGGCTGGGAGTGTCGGCATAATACATATTTGGCATTCTTTATCTTTTTCACATACACCAACATCCTATTGCAAGTAATTATATATATATATATATATATATATATATATATATATATATATATATATATATATATATATATATATATATATAGATCGATCGATCTAGTCTGACGCGACACCTGAACGCGTTTCGTAATAACTTATTACATTTTCAAAGACTTTAGTTATAGTTGTGTGTGTATAAACTAAACAGAGTTTAAACAGCTTCGATTTTATACCCGCATTTGGGTGAGGTGATATGTTACAACAGTTTTGGATGAGGTGAAAACAAACTTTCAACACAAGACAGAAAACGAAACAATAGGTATAATATTTTGTAAGTTAAAGGGAAGAATGGAAGTAACTGCAAAGGGCCTATTGGCCCATATTTCTTGATGCTTCTATATTGGTGCAGAGTCTTGAAGTGGGTAGAATATAGTTGTGCATTAATTGCCTGTTGGTTGCTGGTGTCGACTTCTTAATGTGTAGTGCCTCGCAGATATCAAGCCGCCTGCTATCGCTGTATCTATCGATGATTTCCGTGTTTTTTGTTAAGACTTCTCTGGTGATGGTCTGGTTGTGGGAAGAGATTATATGTTCCCCACCACCACCAATGTGGGTTGGTTCCGTCGAGTTAAGCAGACTGACTTCAGGCACTTCATCCAAAAGATGTTCAATATGTCTTCCGTTGGCGTCGGTTCTTGGTGAATCAAGTACTAATTCACTATTTTGAAGAGCGTTGAAGTCACTCGAGATGATAATAGGTGTGGTAGATAATAGATAATATCTGCTGTTTCAAAGATTGCAGAGATATCCATATGGTGTTCTGTATGGCTCCTGTATACATTGAAGATGGACAACATTGAGTTCCTCATGGTGAGATTAACTTCCATAATTTCGACGTCCTCACCACAGTCAGGCAGGTCTGTGATGACCGTGGCATTGATACGATTTCTTACTAGTATTGAAATGCCTCTGGTGCCACCTTGTGCAATTGGGCAGTGATAACCTCGATATCTTGAGATATTGATACTTCTTTCAGTCCTGGTGAGCGTTTCTTGAAGTAGAACAATATCAATATTGTCCCTGATAAGCACTGCTCTGAGTGTTTGAGCTTTGTTTTTGATTCCTTGGATATTCCATTGTATAATCTTGAGATTGTCCATTATTCTGTTAAGAGTTGAATCCACTGAGTCCATGGTGGCTTCTAATGTGCTGATTTCCCCGACGGCTTGTGTCTTCTTGGTTGGATTGGAGACTGTCATTGGGTGCTGAAACAATTCAGTTTTGTCACCTTTGACTTCTACTTCGTCAACCTTTTCAGGTAGAGCGTGTAGAAGTGTGGAAGAAAAATTTCAATATATTGTTGTTTTGTACCTGTGTTAACATTTCCTTCTTTGACTGAGGTTTGGTCTGTTTCAGTGCTTGGAATGCTTTGTCAAGCATCTTGCTAAAGGTCTCTGTCAGGGAGGCAATAACCATTGGAACAGTAGTCACTTGATACGCATTTGGCTGCCTTGCTTTTGTTTTGACAGGTGGTGTCTTTACTGCATCCAGCTACTGGGGCATTTGATGATGTAGGGGTCGTCATCCGTGCTTGAGATGTCTTAGAGACCATAGCAGGTGTACTGGCTTTGTTGCTCTGACCTCTACTGTTGTTGTTGTCTTGTGGAGTAGTGCTCTGTTTCCCACCCGTCCTCAGACCAAGTCCATTAGATCCAGCAGTTGACCCCAACGACGCATTCACCAATTTTACAATACTGTTTATTCAGAATATAAATTTTCTAAAGTATAAATTAATATTGTTATATAATAGCATACTGTGCATATTTAGGCATTCGTTAGGTTAGGTGTTTAGGTTCCGTTGGCGATTATTTGTAGTACGTGAGTGAAGCATTTACAGCGTTGTGGTTCGAACACAAGTCGTCAGCGAAACACTTGTTCTGGAAATGTTCGGACGTCATCAGTTGTGAGTCGTGTGTAAACCGTTTTTCATTCATAAAAAGGGGGTTTGTATGGAATGAACTTTGACCTTTGTTTATGAGGACGGCCTGCTGTTTTCTCCACTTACCTGAAGTCCCGTTCTTGTTTATACTGGAAGGAATTGGTGCTTTAGTCTGTTGCTGATATTTTTTTCATTTATTCGAACTTGTCGAGGAGTGTTCCACTGGCTTTTAACTGAGGATCTGGTAGTTTGTGGTCTTGGAGTTGTGGCTTTGGGTTACTGGGTAGATACGAAGGCTTGGACTCTTTTTGACCCTTTCTGGACATAGTTCCAGGCGTAATGTGTATCCCCACAGTTTGGACATTTTACGTTTGTTGGTTTGCCTTCTTTATGCAGCTTTTTATCGGTGTTGTGTAGCTCGCTGTATACTCCACACCGTTCCGGGTCTCTGCAGCCATCTTTATGGTGGCCGATGCGCTGATATCTGTAACAGCACATGGGGGGGCTCTGTTGTACAGCCTTAGACTGAATTGTCCGTTGATCCCAACATTCAGGGTGTTGATGCGAGGCCCTTTTATTGTTACGAGGACCTGTCTTGTTTCAACATTGTCGTGCTGGCACCTTTCTGCTGTTGTGACATTAGGGCATTCTAAGAGCCTGTTTGCATTGACTTCAACCGGGAAATGTTGAACTATCATCTTGGTGACTTTATCCTCCGGTTTTAGATCAACTAGGTCTTCCGTATTCCTGAGTTTTGCAATTATATCAGGGTTAGCCGTGGATATGTTATATCTGATTCTAATGTCAGGTTTGGCTGTGATCCTGGGTGATCTTTTTCCAGTGCGGCAATGTAGGAGAAAAACAAGAAAACTCCTCACCCCTGAAGGATTCGAACCCAGACAACCAGGGCTCCATGCACCTTGGCATGTCCAGTACTTTCACCACTAGGCCACACTGACTGTTTAAAAGTATAGGAAGTCATCTGACCCTTACCATGAGGTTACCTTGAGGTGCTTCCGGGGCTTAGCGTCCCCTCGGCCCGGTCGTCGACCAGGCCTTCTCGTTGCTGGACTGATCAACCAGGCTGTTGGACGCGGCTGCTCGCAGCCAGACTACGAATCACAGCCTGGTTGATCAGGTATCTTTTGGAGGTGCTTATCCATTATCCCTTAACCCAATTCCCGACAGCTCTCAGTGACCTTTTTTCATCATCAACTGATGAAGTGATTTGATGAAATATCTGTGCCCGAAAAGGTCACCGACAGCTGTCGGGAATTGGCTTAAAGGTCAGACGACTTCCTATTCTTTTGAACAGTCAGTGTGGCCTAGTGGTGAAAGTACTGGACACACAAA